AAACAATTATCCTTTCGCATTTTGGTTAATTGTGTATTACATCTCAGAACAATATTTCAAGGGATCTTGGGGTTTTTGATTGATTTTTTTTTCTTTTTTTGCTTAAAAGAATATTATACTCTACAATGTATTTGAGTTCTACAGCAAAATAATAATTTCAAAAGTTCTGATTGTACACATTTTGTACAAACCACTAGGGTCGCATTCTGCAAGGCAGAGGTTGCAACTTCTTTATGAAGATGGTGTACTGAACATTGTACATCTTTGTACATGTCTGAACATGTGCAATGCTGTTCTATTTCAGGACATTCACCTTCTCAATTCTTCTCATTTTCCTGTATTTTATTATTGTGCTGACTGGTTTTACCCTTCAGGGTATCCAGGGATGTGCTTTGCATTACCAAGCAGATGCAAGAGATAGGTAGAGGGAGATGTAGCACAAGCACACATGAAAACATCTATGGGTGACTGAAGGCACACAAGTGGTTTCTGCTCCCTCCAAAGGCTAAGGAATGTCATTCTGGAAGACCTGTTTGTCCCAGTGTGCTTGGGCAGGTATTTATGGATGCACTAAGCAGGCAGCCTGGCCCAGTAAAGCAAACCAGTTGATACAGGGGGTACAAAACCTTTTTTCAGAATGGCCACATGGCTCCTCCAAATCTTGCCTACGAACTGAAGACAATTCCTGCACTCCTTATTTCTGACAGGGAGTGCCCATACAGAAGGGACACATTTTGGATTTCCTTGTGAAATTTGAATGCTTAGCTGGCTTCACCTGCAGTTCCCACCCCTTTCTGGAGCAAGGAGCATACCTCTAGAGAGGAGGTCTGATCACATATTTGCTTCCTACATGGCACAGTTCTCTATCTCTCACAGGTCAGTAACAGCCCCACACCTACTGTAACCATGTCTGTGAAGTGTGCAACAGTGATAGAGGTCCTAACTTCCTGCCAGTGCCTGCTCCCATTAAAATCAGTATTAGTAGGCCAACTGAATTCTGTGGAGGAAGGTAAACAAACACTGAGCACTTGGTAGATTTTCTTGATAATGTATTTGCAAGTTTCATTGATCAGATTATGAGGGAAATATGGAAAAAAGCAAGAACCATGGAGCTGGTCAGACACAAACATCTGTACCTGGGAGCTCCTGTGCCACAAAACACACTCTGTAACACACACACAGTGTCCTAGACACAAAGTAGTAATTTCTGCAATACCCACGAGTGCAAGGATCCCAATTTCCCATTTTTTCCCAGACACTTTCTAAATTCACTTACTGATTTTCTCATCTCTTTTACCACAGCTGAACTCATCAAGTCTCTTGCTGAGTGTGTATTTTTAGCTGGATGGTCTAACTGCAAACAGACTAAAGGGACAGACTATCAATTCCCTACAGAAAACGTTATGCTGTATCTTAGATATCTAAGTACAAACTTGAGAGGTTATTTGAAATCTTGAGAAACCAGAAACAGCTCCTAAGAAGCTTTTAAACCCAAGAACACTGAGATCTTCCGAAGAGCTAGCAGATCAGTTAATTGACAATTACAGATTCCAAAACCAAACCAGCTTTACTCTTCGGTACTTTCTCCCAATGATACCCAGTCAATTGCATGGTCTCAATAAAAAGAAATTACTCTTCACATGACATTTTGGAGAAGACTGTTCTTGCTTTTGCTAACCTACAGTTTACCAAGTCCCTCTATAAAGATGTATCTCAGAGATGTAAACACTACAGTTAAAAAGGAGACTGGACTCAAAACAAGCTGTAAAGCGCCCTCTTCGCTAAGAATTCAAATCAAGCTTCAGTTTTACCTCTGCTGAAAACAAAATGCATAGTTCATCTAATTCCTAAAAAAAAAAAAATTGGCTTTTTTGTACTGCACTTACCTTTAAGTCTTGCAATGTGCTTACAAGAAAGACATGTAAGACTTCATTCTTATAACAGAAAACCCACACTGACATACCCATTATAGCTTCTGTTGTTGATCCTGATGGCAGTGAGACAGAGACGGTTGGTATTCCAAATGACTATTTCTAGCAGACTGTTTAAAAATAACCTAGACTCTGTTGTACCCCTAACGCCTTGCAAATACGGGGCAGGAGTCATATGTCAGTACCAGCTTAGGGCTGGAGAAACTGAGAAACCACCTTTCTGCAATTATGCAGGTTTAACGTGTCCTTTAGGAAAGCAGCAGCTGCAAAATCCAGCCGGAAAAAGTTAACTCCTCCTCTTCTGAGTGGCTTGTACCTGGAATTAGTCATAAGTAAGATAGTAGAGAAATAATGCCAACTTACTTCCAAAACAAATCTACAGATATCTGATAGAAAAAAGCAGTTCAGTGAGGGGGGTAAGTGGAGCTACCCATGAATTCCAGGAATATTCAACTAAGAGCCTCTGATACAGCTGTCAGCTAATCACGAGCAATGAGCACATGGGCGAACATACGTGCCATTCCTTGCACTCTGCATCCCTGTCAGGTCTTCAGGACAACCTCTCTAGGATTTCTGATCTTACTCCCTTAACTTCTATTTGAAAAGTCATTACATTAACCTAAATGACAGGGTTATTGGAAGCACAAAATTTCTTCATGAAGCCAAAATGAATGTGGCAAACAAACCATTCAAACGTCTTACTCTGTGACATATAACAGAACTCTGTTTCTGTTTTTGGCAAATTATTTTATTTTGTAGAAGAAATACTTTCAGATAATACAAAAATGACACAATCATACAGAACTGTGACAAAAACAAGAGAGATGAATACTGAATATGATACCTCATGACCACACCAAGACAGAACTCATTACAACAGTCAGAATCACAGACCCACACAATATGCCACCAACATCTCACAGCAGTCACTATTTAAAAACACCAACTGAACCCCTGACAGAGAGGCCACCAGACTTTGCCCATTTGTTATACAATCACAGAACAATTTAGGGTGGAAAGGAGGTTCCTACCCTAACCCCTCCCTCAAAGCAGGCCTAATGCAACCAGGATGCTCCAGGTTACATTCAGTCAAGTCCTCAGCCTCTCTGTGGACAGACAGTTCCATCTCTCTGGGCAACCTCTTCCAGTATCTGACTGCCCTCATGGGAACACAGTGTCATCTGTTCTTAGTTTACAGCAAGCACTCCTGGTGTTACTGCTTGGCAACTTTTGATAAACACTACTAAGTAAGGGCCTCCACTGAAAATGAGACGTGAAATTCTGACTAACTGGTCTTTTCAAGTAATGAGCACTGAAAAGCTTGAGCTCCCTAGACTTTTACCCAAACACTACAAATTTCTTACATGATTTGGTTTTTATCTGCACAGTTTTTGAGTGTGTCTAGCTGTGCTCAGGGAACCCAATGTACAACCACTGGAGCTTACTGGCAAAAAGAGACTTCAGGATGGTTAGCATGATAAATGCTAAAGATACTTTACTTTCACCTATATTGCTATATGACTGAATCACTTGATGCCTGTAATTATGATAGGCTATACCAGGAAACAGGGAATACTCCCTTAAAATTAAATGTCTGTGTTAGTCATCCTCACTGATTAACTATTTAGGTTTACAATCTTTTTTCCCCAGCTTGGACAAGTAAAAGCAATTCAGTTTCACTTTCAGGTTCCACTGATCTTTGACAAATTACAAAGAACACTTATTACTTACAAATACTTGAAAATATTTTGACTGATACTGGTAAGTCTGTTTAGTTTTTGGACGTTGTTTTGATTTCCTGACATAAAAATCTGGCACCAGTTTGACCTTTACTTTTAATTAAGAGACAGCATGACCTTCCTTCTAGGAGATTCCAGCCATTTGCAAAGTCAGTCTTGTGTTGGGCACCTCTCTTTGCAGGTAATGTATAATTAGAAAAATACGAGAAACTCTATTATAGTAGCTTAGTAAAGAAGTATTTTTACATACTTGTAGGATGCAAGGACACAAAACTGGCATTCTCGGGAATTTAGGGTGACAGGCTTTCATTAAAACCAATGTTCACAAGGAGCATTATTTCCTACCAGATTTTAGCTGGTCCAACTAAGAATCAAGTGAGCAGTACCTTCCAGAATTAAACACCTTCCTCCTGGAATGTGTCACTGTTCAACAGAACTTGCATGCAGTAACCTCAAAGCACATCCTTTAGGATGAATGTGTGCTTCAGCACCCTTACTTAATGCAGCTGCTTTCCAAAACCAGCACATAAGTACTTCCCTGAATCAGATCAGAGTCTTTAAAACTGGAGAAATTACTAGAATATTCCTTTAGCAGCCTTTCCACACAGCTAGCTCATGTTGCTCTTTTAACTCCCTTTCCATGAAACAGCAAAACAAAGACCTGTCACCCTTTTCCTTCCTCCGTTTAAACTGAGAATCTAGTTAAGAATATAAAGATACTTTAGACACAACTGAAATGAAAACAATCTATTAGTGCACAGTAAGAACATGCAAATGAATTCTGCAATGTTTAACATCACTTCTAACCAGTGTTAAACACATTGCAGGTGATAATATTTTGCTATAACACAGACAGTGCTAAAGGATACAATGTACATAATAAGCTACAGATAATAAAGCTGAAAAAAGTGACAATTTTAGAACATACTATTTTCATTTCAGGTATCAGAAACAAAACCAGCTCAACGGTTCCATTCTACTGTATGACAAATACTGAAGAACAAAATTTCAGTCTTAAAATACATCTTAAGTAGGTATTTTCCTTCAAGGAAAAAAGGCACTATAAATAAATTACACTACAGTGAATTTGCCTGAACTCACTTTGTTTCTGTCTTCCAGCCTTTAAGTCAAATAAAACAGCATAAAAACTGTACACGCTCTTAACAGGATAGTCGATCTTTTATAAAATAAGTTGTCTTCAGAGATGTCAGTTTCACAACAAGGAAAAACCAAGCCTTGTTGCAGTCGCTATTATAAAATATATATGTATATATATATTTATATATATGTTTTTGTTTACTTTTACTTTTTTTACTTTTTTTATTTTTTACAAAATGTGTATATTAGCTTTTGCACAATTTTTTTTTAAAGAAACTTGGCTAATCTAATAACTTCATTAAAATAAAAGCGATAAATACTTCATGTTTACAATGCAACACGTCATACATCATCAGCTGGCAGAGGAGGTATGTTAATCCTTGGTCTTGTGAAAAAAGCTATCTTCTCTCTGTGGTGAAAACAAGATAAAAAGGAAGTCGATCAAATAATACATGCCTAAGGTGTTGGGTTTTTTTCCCCAAGAACATGGTTTCTTCACTCTGATTAGTGGTCAGTATTTGTTACCTCCTGAACGCATGGTTTGAGCAAAAGAAAATTACAAAAACTGTTAAACCGCACTGTACACTTTTTCAACATTCTACAGAACACAATTACTGTTTTTGAAAATTTTGAAGAATTTTGAAAATTTACTCCTTGAATATTAGTGATAGCTGACTGTAAAAAGATTTTCTCACTGGTTTGGGTTTTGGTTTTTTGTTGTTAGTTTTTTATCAGAGTTGGAAGGGACTTCTAAAGATCATCTACTCGAACCCCCCTGCTAAACCAGGATCCCCTGGAGCACATTACTCAGGACCGCATCCAGGCAAGTCTTGAATATCTCCAGAGAAGGAGACTCCACAATCTCTCTGGGCAGCCTGTTCCAGTGTCTTGTCACCCTCACAGTAAAGAAGTTTTTCCTTGCATTTAAATGGAACTTGTTCTGTTCCAGCTTGTGCCTGATGCCTCTTGTTCTGTCACTGGGAACTACTGAAAAGAGTCTGGCTCCATCCTCTTATATTAATAAGGCTTCTACTCAGCCTTCTCCAGGCTAAAGAGTCCCAAGTTCTCTTACCCTTGTACAAGCCCTGCATAAGCCCCTTAAGCAATGCAAAGTTCACTCTTGTACATTTTGCAATAATGCCTATCAAAAAAGAAGGCAAAAAAAAAAAGCATTCAGAGTAATCTTTTGGCATCTTTATTGAACAGTATATGCTGTAAACTAAGTGTGATAAAAAATTGTATGGATGCATAAAAAGGGCAAGAGTTTAAATGAGGAAAACAGTTTTTGTAATTTTCTACATCTTGTTTTATTCAATTCCCCTTATCTTTTTATAGCTCATTAGACAAAGCATAAAAACTCCTCTCTCATTACCAGAAACGTAAGATATAGAAACAACCCTAAAATTTCTATTTCTCTTACTTTTTCCCCTGTCTTTGTGAGAAAGAGGTTTCCAGTATCATTTGAACAACAAAACAAATACATTTTAAAAGAGACAGCTTTTCTATTTTACTTAAGTATTCCCTGCAAAAAAAAAGTTCTAAAAATATCAACACTGGATGAAATAGGATAAAATAACATGGTTGCCGAGCTGTCTTCCACATCTATTCTGCACTAACATTTTCTTACTCTTATTGTTATTCTCCAAATAAAACGTATAAAATTTCCATACTGAAGCAATAAATTCTTCCTGTGAAATGTACACTGTTTATCAATGGGTCTTGTAGATCAAATAAACTGTCAGAAAAAACCCCATAAAGCTAAGAGAGGACACACTCCATGTAAACACAGATTAAATAGGAAAAAAAGTCCAAAGAGAAGGCTTCCTGAGAGGAGCTGGAATATTACTGGGTAGTAATGTATATGTATTATATTAAACAAACTGTTTATGCTCACAGGCTTCCAGTGAAGAACTGACAAATCGTATGAACTTAACGGTGACTAAGCTGAGTTGAAAGAATCCTCAACACTATGTTTGAGCTTTAACATTACTTTTGCTGTTGTTATATTTTATGTGTTTTAGAACTGTAATATGAAATTTTACCTTAGCTTTGGCTCTTTGTAGTAGTAATTCAAAGGAAACCCATCTGTCCAAATTAATATACAGTTAATAATTACAGACTACACAGAAGACACATAGAATTTAAGATAGATTATCTAGAAAGATCTATCCTCTTCAATGAACTCTTGTTAGACTATTTCAGTAGACATTACCACTTACCTAAAAGTCTGCACCTGAATAGGCTCCTTCTGATTTTGCCCACGCAACTGGTAAATTTCTTTTGATGCTTTCTTAAGCATCTTTTCAGCTGCTTGTTCCTGACGATGTTCAAATTTGGTCTGTCTGGTCTGAAAACAAGACTATAATGCTTAATATGGTCATGCAAATAAATAAAATACCACCAGGTTAACATAATGGATTTTCCCCAGTCACCCCAGTAAAAACACGTGTTGCCTGAAATACATGATAATTTAGAAACTATAAATTCAAAAAAACTGACAGTGTTGTTTCATTTCTTAATGCTCTTCAGACAGGTATGTATTAAATTTGTGAAATTACTGCACACAGATCTGTCAAACAAGACCTTAAAATAAATTTAGGCTCACTATTCATCTCTGATAATCCAATAGCAATTTTCTTTCTTGTGCAGTTTTTGCCACTTCTTACCTACAACTTCTTTCTCCAAGAACAAGAAAAAAAATCCCCAACTTACTAAACATTCCAAATACTTGTAAAAAACGAAAAATACCAAATCAGCAAAATTTATATCAGAGATCAAAAGTAAGGAAATTATTAACGTTACAATTATAAATAAACAAAATAAAATAGTAATATAAACAAAAAATCCAAAACAAAAAACCTGCAAACAAAAATTGCTATTGGCAAACAGTACCTTTCTCCTGTAATTGTCCTCCAATAAATACACAGGTTGTTAAAAGGCAATGCAATAATTTTTATTGTGCTAACTTAAAAAATATAAAAGCAATATTCATTATCTGAAGTTCTCTTTAGGCATCTTGTCACAATCAAGAAATTTTGAAACCAGAACTTTCCCAACATGTGGGGTGCTCTTCTTATGTTGCCATACCTGCCTTTCTGCTTCCTTCAACAAGTTTCGGAACCGCTCATCCCGAAGGACCCAGTGGGGTAGATCTGTCTGCCCTCTGAGCTGGGCATCTTCCAGACGCTGTCTCAGCTCTCTTAACACACATATCTCCTCGTTCAGCTGTCTCTGTCTTGTTCTGCATGCCTGGAGATCCAGCTCCAGGTCTAAGGGTGTCCTTGCCATAAGCTCAGCCAAAGATGATCTGCAGGACTGCTGAGTTATCAGGACGCAAAGAAAACGCACAATGTGTTACTCTCAACATGCTATACCGGCCTATCTGTACAGCACATGCATTTTCTGGACTTGCCTCACAGATCAAGTCTTTCTTGACACAAAGTTATAGAAAGATTATTTATACCTCAACATGGTGAAAGGCTAACTAGCTGTTGTAGGGGTTTTCTGTACCATACATCAACTTCGTCAGTTAATGCTTTTTACTACCTCATTTTACAGTCTCCTTTTGTCTTATAAATATTTAACTAATTTCAGTTTATGGACTAAACTTTTGTGTTATGATGATAACAAAAGGGAGACTATGAAAAACTTGTAGAGGAGTCCTGACCTTGGAAAATACTGTTCTGAGCAAGATCCCTCTAAAGGGTTTTATTCAGTGCTGGTTTTAAGATAGATAAATCCTGAATGAAAATGGGAAGCGTGGCTGCCTATTTGCCAACACCAACAAGAAATTACCTTCTGCTGAGCAGGCTGAACTGTATGCTATTTCTATATAAGGCATTAATGCCTCACCTGCCCTTCTCTGCCCACTTGTTCTGCAGCATGTGGGGTGGAATGGGGGCAAAAGGAAGGCTTAACCTATTCATTCCTGAATACCTGGGCCTCAAAAACTATGTTTTGCTAGGCTGCATGGGAGGGTAGCTGGATGCTTCACTGTCACATTTACACACACTTCTCTGGGCCTGCACCCTGCATCATACACTAGATTTTAAAGTTTTAACAAAGTTTACATCTAAATCAAGAAAAATTCAATCCCTGTTAAACAAATTTTTGTCTGCCACACATTTTATTCTATCCTCAATAATTGCTCACAACTATATTTCACTTCACTTTCAGCTTAAAAAACCCAAACCAAACCCAAATACACACCCCTTCCCCTATTACATGCCAGAAGCTGTTTCCTAAAAACCTCAGAATGTACCTCTGGATATCTAAAGCTTAGGTATAGAAGCACCAGTGTTCTAGAAACTTGGTGAAAAGTGAAGATCAGCTTCCCAGGCATACCTGCTTATACCGTAGAGTACGCCTCTCCAACGTATTCCGGACAAAAGGGGATTTCCTTGGCAAAGTTGAACTGTCACTGTCACTGCGATACAGCTGTTCAGAAAAGATATTGAAAATACAGGTTGCTTACAAGGTTATCTACGTTAAGAAATCAGGTGGGTTTTTTTAGCTTTTTAGATATTTTTTAATTATTATTTTAATTTTAATTTATTTGAATCAATTAAAGCTATGTGCATTTCCACCAATATTGCAAAATCAATACCCATGTATTGATCTGCAATACCATGAGCCAACTGCTTAGAATCGTTTTCCCACTGAACATAGTAACCAGCTATCAGGAGCTTAAAAGCTGTTGTGCTGACCTTCAATTACTTGCACCAGTGTACCCAGGTATCTTAGATCACATTGTAGCAGGCATCCTATGATTGACATTCATGACAGCAACCAGAGTCACAAGAATACTTATGCAATAATCCTACTATTATTAATTCAGTCCCCTTTCCCAAATTTTTAGGTATTAAAAGTTAATCATGGCTTCTGAGCTAACTGGTTACACACCTCATTAGACAGCATTGTACCTCTTTAAAAGCAATGACCCTGGCCTAACAACTAAGTTTGACAGGAAAAAAGAGGTTAATATCTAATTAGTCATAAATTCTTCAATTTTAAATTAAATAAATTCAGATCTAAAAGAGAACCAGAGGATCTCTTCCCCACTGCAATGCTTAAGCTCAATGAGCTTAAGCTTCATCAGTACTAAAAAGTAGTATGTGCTTCCTATAAATGTTATAGGGTCTTCAGAAGACATTATCAAAAAACGTACAAAACACTTCTGCAGAGGCCCCTCTCCCCCTTCTTGTTAAGCCTTACTCACTCTGCAAACATATTGACTTCGTGCTCCAGGCGAGAAGGTCTGGGAACGAACAATAGTGCTACTGCGAACAAAGGCAGAGCCCCGGGGCCTGCGGCTAGCTCTCTCTTTTGGAAGAATAGCAACTTCTTCAGGAAACAGGTCCTCAGTGTTAGTTTCCTTATCCACCTAAAATTTCAATGAAGGACATGTTTTTATTTTTTCCTTATTTTCTCTCTCTCACCAAAAACAATCAGACGTTTCAACAATATCAAAAGTAAACAATTTGCCCTGCTAGCGAGGTTCAGGTTCTAAACAGTACTGAGAACTGTAGATGATTCACCTCATTTTAAAAAAAGCTGTAAAAATAGGTCATTCAAAATGGTTAAGATTACCTTTCAGGAGCCTTTGCTGGAACAGTAACAATTATGAAATGTGGTTATAATGTGAATCATAGCTGCAAAGTACAAAGACTGCATTCAGCAGTGGCAACTGGGCATTAACCAAGCTACCACCTGATCTCCAGCCTCAACAGAAGAAAACTGAGTCACCATTCAATATGCAAGGTGACTCTGAAGCAAGCAACTGCCTTACTACTGGAGAAAGTCAAATGAAGAGAAGACATTCAGCAAAAGGGTACTGAAAGACTAGTGAAACAATGACGCACTAAAATACTAGAAATACAGAAAAAACATGTTATTCTAGCACAGCTTCCCAACTTTAGGACAACTCAGTCCTCAAGAGGAGGCATGATCTTCCCTAAAGGCAACACAAACAGTTTATGCTCCTCTACTTCACTGGAAGTGTGCTGATCTCAGCTTGTTTGGGATTGTTTTCAATGTCTCATATCTTGAACACAAAAGATTTTTAAATGCATCAGTTTCAGCACAATTATTCCAAAAATTTCAGCTGTACTTACTGTAACACTGAAACAGCAACGCATGTCTTAAACGTTAAACTTCTTTCCTCATAAGTTCTTCAAGCATCAAAATTTTATTATCTTTTCTGTTACAATTTCAGGTCAACAAAGACAGTGCACATTCACAGATTAGAGAAAGGTGACAGCAAAAATAGCTTGCCTTTTGATATAAAATTCTAATTCTGTTCAGAAATAACTAGAACAACCAAACAAAAAAAACCACAGCCCTGATGAGGGTATTTGTAGCAACTCAAAAGGCACATCACTGTCATGAAGGCAGTACTCATACAGGGTTGTTAATGACATTTCTGATGTTTTCTCTCCTGGATAATTCAGACTCAAGCTCTAGGAGCAGCAGTGACACTCTCTGTGTGCCAGGCAGCGTTGCAGTTTCTGTGCTGCACTGTCTTCTCTCATTACCTTTAGTGGCGGAGGCTGCATTTTTCCAGAACTGTACTGGCCTGCTTGAGTGGCAAACATGTGTCCAGCTAACGAATCCCCACAAAATGGTTCTGGATAAGGAGGACTAGTCTGGGTGCAATTACTGCATCCACTGTCAACAGATTCTGCTTGCCAACTCCTAAATTCAAAGAAGAATTGTATAGGTATTAAAAAAAACCCACGCAAGTACACATCATCTTTATATATTTAATTATCCCAGTCAGTTTATAATTTTAGAATATTATTTCTCTACTAAAAATACAGACCTTTCAAAGGGAGAAAATATCCCACTTGCACTTCTGAATATGCAGAGAAGCAAACAAATTTCATCACACAAAAAAATTACCTTCCCTAATTTTCTTAAAGCATTTGTTCCAGTCTTTTTTACAAGACTAAAAAAAAGCAGCAAAAAGAGCAATACAACTCTTATAACAAACTAGGATTATTATTGATGAAATAGCATTGTAATGAACCCTGAAATAGAAACAGCTGTGCTGTGTGTTCACTCCATAACCACTTTGACATTTTCCCACCTCACCACAACATTTTTTTAATGTTTTTAGTACAGTACTGTTGCAAACCCATTAGAGTTCCCTCCATAGTAAAGTTTCTGTTGGATGTAATGTCTTCCTGCTCCCTAAATACTAAGTCCTCTACACTCAATTAGCTATTCAAATAAGGTTTTCTCCTTTTTGCACATCATCACATAATAACACAGCTGTAAGACTAGCAGGGAGCAGATCTCAGAATAAGAACCTGCTGTTTCTCCTGCTGTATTTCAAACTATACTCATAGTGTAAATGCTGCTGAGCTGTTTGATAAGTTATTTAAACTACTATTTTTACCTCTCTGATACAGCTTCTGCCTGATCTTCCTTTCTTTCCATCTCCAGGATTTCCTCCTCTGTGTACTCCAGTTTCACTCTCTCTTCTGCTAACTGTCTCTCAACTGCTTCCAGCTGGGCAGTAGTCCTAGCTAAAAGGGCTGTCACTGCATCCTGAAAGGCAAACCAGACTTCAAATAAAAGCATTTGAACAAGCCAATGTGTTTAATGTATATTATTCAGAGAAAACAAAATTTTAAAAATAGCAATTTTAAGTTCCTTAAAAAACCAACAACAACAAAAACCCCAAACAAACAAACAAACAAACACACACACCACCTGTCCTGGTTTGAGCCAGGATTAAGCCAATTTTCCTTTTACTGATTTTTTTTTTTCCTTCAGTAAGCTTTCTCTTAACTAGCAACTGTGTGCTCTGCTAGGCTGATAAGACACTGGAATGTTTTTCTAACTGCTGGGTCTCCAAGGTCGCGTCTTTGCTCTGCCAGCTCAGACACTGCAGGGAGATCTGTGACAACCCTGTAGGAGGCTGAGTTAGACAGACAGCAAAATGGGCCAGAGATATTCCATTCCATATATGAAAACCAACTTGAAAACCAACTGCATCTGAGATAAGATCACAAACAAGCCACCAGTAGGTCAAATAAGGTTTTTCAGAGCCATACTGTTTTAACTGTAGTTACATTTCCAGAAGACCGGGGAATGCTGTCGTCACACTGGTTTTTGTTCTTTGCCCTCTGGGGGTCTGAACCAGTGAAGATCTGAACAGTATACCAGTGAAGCTGCATCTCACCAGAACTCTCTGCATCAGCCAGGTTTATCTGAGCAATGCCCTGTAAACAAGAAGCATTGACCACAATTGAATAAAAATTCACAAGGAGACTTCCACAACCTCTCTGGGCAGCCTGTTCCAGGGCTCCATCATCCTCACAGTAAAGAAATTTTTCCTCATGTTGAGCTGGAACTTCCTGTGTTGTAGCTTAGTGCCATTTCCCCATGTCCTATCACAGGGTACCACTGAAAAGAGATTGGCCCATTCTTGACATCCACCCTTCAGATATTTGTAGACATTAATAAGGTGCCCTCTTAGTCTTCACTTCTCAAGACTAAACAGCCACAGGTCTCTCAGCCTTTCCTTATACATTCCAGTCCCTTAATCATCCCTGTAGCCCTTCCTTGGACTCTCTCCAGTAAATCCTTGTCCCTCCTGAACTAGGGAGCCCAGAACTGGACACAATACTCCAGATGTGGTCTTATGAGGGCAGAGAAGAGGGGGAGAAGAACCCCCCTTGACCTCCTGGCCACACTGTTCTTAATGCACCCCATGATACAATTGGTTCTCTTATGATGTCTAAGATACTTAATTTTCTGTCTTTTGCTTACTACCAGAAAGGATCACAGCAGACAGTAATTTTTTTAAGATTAAAACTGTGACTTAGGTAGCTATAATTGTTACAGCAGATAGCTCTTAATATCTTACTAAAAATCCCCTCTCAATCACATACTTGATTTCTACATTTGCTTAAGTTAGTATTACCTTAACAACATTATTTAATCTTTTTTTGAGAGAGACAACTATGATCTGAGATATCCTTCAGTTCTCTGGCCCTCAGAGGCATCTTCCAAAAGGGACAAAAAAAATACAAAAAACTCGTAATCCAATTGTATTCCCACCTCCCCATTTATATCATAGGGTAGTCAAATGGGCTATAAAGCCATTTTTCCACTTTACAAACCTTCCTTACATCTCCTAGATTCAGGTAAAAACAGGTATAATGGAGGCTTGTCAATAAAAGTACTCTCAAACTTTAAGTAGCCCTAGTCCATCAGACAGTCCCTAATGTAAGAAACTTCTGCATGGTGGTAACCTAAATGAAGAGCAGGTGTGAGCCTTTTAAAAAAACCAAACAAAAACAAAACACCAAAACACCAAACCAAACAACAGTTCTAACAATGATTTTATATTATCCAGTCTAACTATTACTTTTTGGCTTTATCTGGCTATCTCTACAACCTGTTCATGTCCATACTAATGGATCACATGCTAAGAATGTTTTCATTTATATCACTAGAAAAATAATGTAAAAATTGTTTTGATCTCTCAAAACAAAAAGCTGGATGGAATGATTCTAAATGTAAAGGCAGCAGGAAATGCACACAGAAACTGCCTTTTAACTTTTAGCAGGTAAAGAAACAGTTAATTAGAAAATAATAAAAAAATCATTGTATTGTTTTTCCAAGATGAATGTTCTCTGAGGCTCCATTTAAATAGGTGTATAAAGGACAATGCAGAAAAGCTTCTGAGACTATCAAAATGTCATATTCAACATGCCACTAACAGCATCGTTTTATGTCAGTATATTGGAGGCTACAGAGATGCCTTTTATCTATAAAACAGAGATGTCTTCCAATTACCTACTTGCTCCAATGTAGCGTAGGAAAGAAACGTATCAAAGACTCACACTTTTGCATCTGAGTTCGAAAATGTTTCAGACACGTTTGGTTTGGTTTTAGAGGTAGAGGGTAAAACTATTTCCCTGTTGTCGATATTGGAGAAAACACATATTAACTCTTACAATGTCTGACACTACCCAACAGACTGCACATATGCAGCAGCTAAGAAAGCATGCCAAAGAAGCTGTTGCTACAAAGTGAAGAACTAATTGGTTAAAAAAAATAATCATCAAAACCAATTAATAATTATCAGACCTGAAAGGACCAACTAATATTTCACCTCCACTTCAAGATCTGGAGCTCACTCAAAAGGATGAAGAAACTAAGGTAGGTCTGCCAGCAGTCTGTCACATGCCTGCTCTGATGCATTTGTTAACAACTTAGATAGGGGAACAGTAAAAGCATTTATGAATCTCTTGGTGATGTCAAACAGAGGGATTGTAAAATTTATGAGAAAAGGATGAGAACTTAAAATTGTTTTAAAAAAAAGGAACAGATGTTCTAAAATAAAAACACTAAATGCAAAAAGATATATGTTACACTCAAGAAGTAAGAGTTCCAATAAACTGAGGCATGGGGAATAATTGGTTGGTATGGGCTGTAAAAGATCAGAAACTGGGAGTGAAAAGCAATGCCGTGTGACTGCAAGAACAGCGACTGCATTTCCTTGATGTTTTCACATGAGCTACATATGCTAATCATGGAAAATAACAACCCCCTTATCTCAACATAGATGAGGCCACCAGGGAAGAAATAAGCCAAATACAGGAAGCACAGTTTCAGAAAACTGTAGTAAAACAGAAAAACACCTTGCAGCAATGGAGGGCATATTAGTAAAAGGCTGAGGGAATGGAAAGACCATCCCACAAGTTTGGTACATTTACTTCTCTACAAAACTGAAATTTAGAACTACTGGATGGAACATTTTTTTTTTCTTTCTTTTTTTTTCCCCTTTATGTACAAATATTTGTATAACTTGGATAAACTCCAGCCTGGCTTCCACATTTAGAAAAGCATTAAACTGGCATAATCTAATTGAAAACAAAGCTGCCATCAAGAATTTCAGAAATACATGGATGATTAAATAAGTGGAAAAACCTATAATCTCAGTGGATGAGATTTTGAAGGACAGAAGCCTTGTTCATAGAGGCCACCACAATGGTTCCAAAGAGAGGTAGTAAATGATTTATAAATTCAACAAAATTCTTGTTTTCAATTTGCAGCAGAAAAGGGCAACAATCATAATATTTAAATACATACTTCAATACACATACCTTAAAAAACGGTGGCATTATTTCTCTTTTTGAAAGGCATTAACTTACCCTAAAGTATACTGCCAACTGCTGTAGACAAAGATATTGCTGACAAAATTATACTAAGACCATGAAAAAGAAAAAATTCCTATGAAAATAACCTGAAGACCTATCACTTCTGCTAATTCAGTAACAGCAGTTAAAATAGAAGTGCCCTTAACTTATATGCCCTTGTGTCAATATAAATATGCCTTGAACACTTCCAGGGAGGGGGCATCCACAACCTCCCTGTGACAGTATCTCACCACCCTTACACTAAAGAACCTAAATGTCCCCTTTTCCAGCTTAAAACCATTACCCCTTTTCCTATCACTTCATACCCTAATAAAAAGTCCAAGGCAAGACCTTGGATCCACTTCTGTCAATGTTAAGACCACTGTTTAAGACACTACCTAGTTTTTATGGTGGACTAACAAACACACATTCTTGACCAGATTCTCCAAAATAAACACCTCTTATCCATAGTCCCATGTGACAGTGAGATGCCTGTACATCTTAACTACTTCGATAGGCTTAAAAAAAACATTTTAAAAATCTCTAACCTATTCAAACCCCTCACTGAAACAGCTGCCTACTCACTTCAAAACAGCCAGAACATCAGCCCCAAGGCAGATTTATATAATCATATTTACCTTTGACAATAGCTAAAAGAAGTTAACATGTGTAACCTATTTAAACAATTGCTACATTTATTTGAAGGCATCAACATCAGGTACCTCAAACTGTTTAAAGTGAAAGGTTAGTGTACCAGAAACCTGCCTGGACCACTATTATCCTGCAACAAAGTTAAGATTGATATAAAAATTGTAAGGAGTTTGTATTTATTATCTTTTCATTAGGAAACTATTTCAATGATACCAAGTCATCACACACGAGTTACAGTGCCATGCAGAAACAGAAGTCTTAGGCACACTGTAGTCTAAAATCTGTCAGATTATTCTTTAGGGAAAAATTTAATAAAATGCTTTCCTTCTTGCACCTAAATTTAGCAACAACGTATTTTTCAGCTTTTCCCAATGCAGACATTTGTAAGAAATGCATTAAAAAATTAACTCCTTATCTACTAAATCAAATAGCAATGAAAGTAAAACTTAAATCAATTTTCAATATGCTTCTGCAATGTAACAGCAAACAATAGTACAAATTACATTACTTTCAACACTGCTTAAAATGCCCCAATTCTCAACCTCTGCTTCCTTTGGTAATAATTTCCAAGACTTTATGTAACCTAAAATGCATGTATTTCAACTTTTTAAAACCCCACCTTTTACTAACAGAACTATCCTTATGTATGTGAACAAACTGACACATTAATATGTAACTCTGTCAGCAATTGTTACAGAAAGTCTTCACTTTCTCTTTTTTATCTTAAAAATTATTCAAGTAGATTTAGTTTCCTATATCACATGGCTTTTAAGAAGAAGGACCACTTACCAATAGTTCTTCTTGTTGCTGATAGTCAACTGAACAGATATACAGCTGCAGTGATTTTAATTTCAAGACACTTGAATGCACGGGGATTCGGAAAACTTCATTAAATATTAATGGAGTTTGGAATTCCAAAGCTCTAGAGCAGTAAGTGGTTGGTGTGCCTGACTCAAGTGGTGGCAAATAAACTCTCACATGACTGGGAACAATAAGACAAATAGCACAATTCAGACATAGAAAGCTATTTCACATTTCTTATAATCAAGCTAAATAAAAACCATCAGTGTAACTTCTACTTTAACAATCTGCTCTGGGACCTCCTCATTACAGGGATTTACTTTGCATTCCTAACACAGAAGAACTGCAAAACTGACATGAAAATGCTATCTTATTCAAACTAAAACTCGTTGTTTGTTTGTTTTTTTAACTTGGTGCTTAAGCAGAAGCACCAAGTGGTACTTCAGATGCTCTTGGGTATTCACGGCATCTACACAGGACTAGAAGACGTGATACAGGATCTGTAGGGAGCTACAACCTTTCCCTGAGCAGCAGGAAGCTAGGTGCTATGCTACGGTATTTCAAATAGAAACACATGCCTATGTTTAGGTAAGTGTCATTGATCCATTTCTTCCTCCCACGTACTAAGCACTCCTTTCTTTTCCCCACACCCCTTTCAGAAATTCAGCACAAAAGTATGGCAAAAGAAATCTGCCATCATTGCATCCATCTGCTGTTTAAAAAAATAAATTTAAATATCTGGTACCATCTCATTTGAGACTTCAGATTAAAAAAAAATAAAATCTACAAACATTTAATCTGACAGAAGGCAGCAGAGCTACTAAGAAAAGTGTAGTGTAAAGAAAAGTCTATCTGTGTTCCTCCTGTCTTGACTGCTTGTCCAGGCCCTGCAATACTGTATCTTTTGCCATACCTTCCCTTGTGGCAGCAAACAGCTTCACCCAACTGTGTTGTGGACCAGATTATAATAACCTCTCTGGGTTAAAAAATTAAGCAACGTTCTATATAATGCAATATGGAATTTGAAAAAACAGGACAGGCCACCTGGGGTTAAAAACTTCAGTTGTTTGTACCGAATCCCAGCTTGCATTATTGTTAACATTATCTTTGGAAAGTGTTTTACAGGTATGCAAGGAGAGCTGTAATGGCCACAGAGGTCTCCAGGTGTCCTGGTTGTATTTTGTTATTGTCTGTGTGTTGATTTGTTGGTTTCTTTGTTGGTTTTTTTGTATGTTTGGTTGGGTTTTTTTAGGATAAAGGGCAAGGTATCTTTCTTACTATTAATATAGATGTGATCATAGGAATTTGAGAAAATTACACTAAGCTTATTTTGGGATATATCACAGATAAGCTGGAAATAAGTTGTACAGGAAATAATATTTCTGGAAGACTGCAAAGAATGTAGACAGCCTTTTAGCCAGATGGCATGGGGTGAGGGAAGCATAACTTGCATTTTTTTGAATAATAAACATGTAAAAACATGGGTCATTAGAGACCATAATGACAGAGGTTCTAAAAAAAGGATACTTTGTGTCCATAAAATTGACTCTTTCCTCATAAAAGCTAAGATATACCATATTCTCCAGAAATGGCTTGATTTTGAATGAAAGCAAACAAATTTATGGTATTTAAGACTGTGGCACAAAACAAGCAATCATCAGACTTTGGATGACAGGTAAGCTTACATTTTGCAGTTTTCTTTAACAATTAGGCCATTAAAGTTCTTCAGCTGTAACACATGGACTAACAGACATTCGCTTCCACTGTCATGCCTGGAAAAGAAATTTATGTTAGTCAGCAAGCATCAATGTTGGGCTTAGGGATGGAGATAAAGACCAGTAAGATTTTAAAAAAATGAAAAAGCACCTTTTTCTGTTTTTCACATTTTTTACACAAATCAGTTTGAATCAGAAGAAATTACAGATATCACACTCTGATAACATTATTATTATTTATATTGTCGTTGATGATAATGATGATAATGATCATAATAATGATGGCAATGATAATGATAACAATAATAATAATAACAACAATTGCTATGGTAACAAAGCTAACACTACTAAGAAAATTAAACATTACTCATTTTAAAAAGAATACTATTCCCCACTGCAATCTTGATAGTGAACAGGTTTCATAACATACAGTCCTTGATTTAAACACTTATACTGTACTGCACACACACGTGTAACAACATATCCGTTACATTAGAAAAAGCAGTGTGCATTGTTTTCATGGGTTAATGAAAATAAACAAAAAATCTACTCTTTCCAAGAGGCAGAGGCAATTCTGGAGGGCTGTCTAAGATATGGCATCCTGCCTTGCACTGCTGTAATCTGTCCTTCCCCAAGCTACCCCTACTACTAGCACAGGATTTCAAAGTTGGATTTGGGAACTGCATATATTTTTGTGTCTCTTCACCTGTGACTTTCCTATGGTAATCCTGCTCTATCTGGCATAATAAGATGTCACAGAGACACATCCCTATACCCATACTCACACTAATGACCCAGACAATGAAAATAAATGTTACTGAAAGAAACATCTTTTTATCAGACAGCATTGAAAGGACACTGAATGAACAGTGGTTAAGGCACAACCCCAGCACAAAGTAGCATGTGACTGACTAATAAGCTTCGGCTTCGGTTCAGAAACTTCTTAAAACTATCCACTGCAGTTAGGTTTATGAAGAAGTTTCAAAATAAACCCAAGAAAACCAGTGAGCAATTTTTGCTGAGTTCACAGGGAGAAAGAGAAACACTACTCACAGAAATCCAACATGTATTTGTGGTTCTTCATTACTGGCAGCATCACCATAAACAGGCTCTTCCAGATCTTCATTCCTGCAGGAAAAGAAGGTATTGTAAACTACATACTGATCTAAGCTGAGCATTTACTTTTTGATCCTTGGATCTTCCTGCTTACTGTTTATTATGCTAAAACAATTGTATAAAGTACCCAAGTCTTTACCCATACTTCAATCACTTGGTCAAACTACACTTTTTTAGACTTGTAGCAGTTCCTATTTTTCTTCTTGCAGTTAATACTTTCATCACATGCTACTCAGAATTGTAAGTCACACTTTATTTTGTTATAGAAGATTAAAATAAAATTAATAATTTACAACTAATAAGCTAAGAAACCTATATTTCAAGGGAGAAGTACCTGGTGTTCAAATGTTACAAGAAAACAAAGTGAGGGGGAGTTGGAACTTGTGAAGATGACAGTGAACTGCATGAGAAAAACCGCTTTCCTTTAAAACATGCAACCTAATATTCTTACATTACTAAGAATCATCAATTTTGAAAATGTATTCAGAAATTTACAACTAATTATTTTGGACCATGTGGTAGAACAGGAATATTTCCAGTTTACTACGCATTTATACACCTGACCTTTTGCTTAAAGCTTCAAACACGCCACTGTCACTAGCCAGTGAATGATCTGAGAGACATGCTGAAACTCGCCTGGCTCTCCTCTCCGATCTTCTACCACTGTCTCCTCGCAGAGTTACAGCTGTCACAGAGAAAAAAAGTGAAGACAACATCAGCTCAAGTCACTCATTAAAAACTAAAGAAGAAACACTTCCTGCATCAAAACTAGTAGCAAAACAATTGCCACAAACACAGTTCATTGCTTTTTCATCTACTTGTATGTTAAAATTCTGTAATACAATCAATGGGAGATTTTCTGTGGAACAGCTGAGGAAGGAAGTTTGTGGCTAATTTCTCTTTTACAAGATTAAGTATAAATCGATTGCATTGTTATTGCAGTGCTTTTCTGGTGGAATAATCTCTCCTGGAGGAAGACCTACATTAATTCAGCATATGTACACATGATATCCTAAACTTTGAAGATTTACCTACTGAATATACAATAGGTTGAAAACAAACACAGAGACTAATTCTTTTAAGAAGTTATCTGATAACACAATGTGAGGTTTTGTTACTTGTTTCCTAATACAAAGTCTCAAAGCATACTGTTTATACCATTGCATAAGAGCAGCTTTTATTTACAGTCTGAGAGGCATTATCAAGAAGAAACAGCACTCTCACTCAGAGCACTGTTTTTTCAAATTCCTTGTGAATTACTTTGAAAACTGACTGGAGGAGGAAGAACCAATATTCAAGCCCCTCCTTCCACCCTTCCCCGAATCACCAACAACACCATAAGCAGCAACGCAGCAATAATTTTCATGTTGTAAGCATATCACCAAAAATGTTACACACCAAGTTTTGCACAGGCAAGTAGGTACAACAGCTACCAACCCTTTAAGGTACATGCACAAGCAGTAACGCTCAAGAATTGCACAGGTAAGGTTTTGATGCTTCAATGACAGCTCCTAACTTGTGTGTGTTTTCTTTCACATCCTAGAGAGAACCACTAAACGAACTTGTGAAGTGCAGCTTCTTCACTGCGTAGTAAAGAATTTTTGCCAACTTTCCCTCCTTTTGTTTAAGGTGCAATAACTGTCCTCAAAGCAAAAAAGCAATGGCAAAGAGGTGCCACTTCGGAGGAAGGGAAAGCATCTTATTTGCTTCTACCCATGCTCAGAAACGTAAAAGAGACAGCATGAAGAAAGGACCCATCTCACCTCTTACCTAAGCACCACCACGAGAGGATGTCAGGACTTGAAGCTTGATAAAAATTCCCCGAATTAACACAGCCACGCCACTGCTATCAACAGAAGTGCCTGACTAAGGTTAGCTTTAACCCACTGCAGAACTGGCAGACAGGCTGCATTGACCATGGCAGTCCTGTGCCAGCCTGAGTATGTTCAGGATGCCAACAGCACAAAATCCCAAAACATGTTCCAAAAATCACAAAGTCTTGTTTGGAGCTAAAATTCCCAGTTGTCTGTCCTTCTGGAACCATGAGTGGTCCTATGGACCTTCCCTCCAAATTTAATGAAGGATTTAATCATCTTTAGCTATGAAGGAAATACCTCTGCTGACCAAGAACATCCCAATCTACAGTTGTCTACTTTCTCCCTCAATTACAGCATCCAAACCTTGTTGTACATCACACATCATGTGTCATCCTCACCTGAAATAAGAGCCGAGTTCAAGCTAGCTGACAGAAAGAAATGAAACCACGCTCCACTTCATATCACTTGGTCAAAGAGGTGGGTGTTTGGTTGTTTGTTTGTTTTGGCTTTTTGTTTGTTTTGCTTGCTTTTGTTCGTTTGTGGTTTGGGGAGGGTTAATGTCTTAAGAACTTTTAATTGGGTGAGCCTACCTCTGGGTTCTGTTGGTGGTATTTATGCAGAATCAAAATGAACTCTGCAGAGACATCCTTTAATGCGGAAGTTTCCCAATAATTTTACATCACTGGAAACGGAGTGAATTTCACAAAAGTGTGTAAGTTTTGTATGAAAGTGCTTCTATAATTTCTGTGCTTAACTTCAACAAGTTACACTAGGATTACTTCCTTTTTGTAAAACAAGCCTTTGGCTCACCCCTCTATGTGAACACTTTGTATAGCTGTATAGGACAAAAAAACTCATATGAGCTTTCTCCTTTGAAGGTTCATGTTCACAATTTGTCTGGAAGAAAAAAATTTGTGATAAACATAATTGTCATTAAAACTGACATGTTGCAGTAATGGCAAGGATTTGTTTGCTGCCTGCTGGCCAAGGAAGCATTTTATAACATCTGAACTCTCCCAGAATCTGGGAGAGATGCAAACACTAAAACTGGACCAGAAAAAAAATTAGCAGGAAAAACGGGTCAAGAAGAAACAAACATCAGATTTTGTTTTAAACAGAACAAGGTTTAGCACAGGTTACAGATCTTCCCATGCTGGAAGCTAAAGATCTGTCTAAAAATAGGAGTTTCTAAGTTAGACAATTACTTCTCATTTTCTTATTTAAATAATAAAAATCAGTGAATCTATGAATCAGTATCTATGAATTTCCAGAACTACTGGGTGCCAAAGCTTGATAACATGAGACAGCCCTGATTAAAAGAATATTCTCAGGTGTCATTAGTTGAAAAAGTGAACTTCAAAGGAAATTTTAGTGTCCAAGACTTCATTAACTAAAAAATACATAAATAAAGCATGTTTCACAAGCTTAGGGACTAAAAATACCTCATGTCAGCTCAAAAGGCACTAATAAGAGTCAAATACTCTCATAAAAACTAAATCAGACACAGACCTTACCTACCATGGTGCTCTCAGGCATTACTATGATACAATAAAGCTGAAGCTCACATAACATTTTTTCCAGAGCTTTAACTACAGCCATAAACATAGTATTTAGTTGACATAGCAAAAAATTAAGTATGCCATAGTGATGAAACAGATACAGCACAATATCAAACAAAAACAAATTTAGCAAAATCTCCTTATTCTTCACATGCAACTAAAAAAAAAACCCAAAACCAGTTAAAAAAAAACCCAAACAAAACAAACAACACCTCCCCAATACCAAAAAAACCCCAACCAACACTTCACACAGAAAAACACACAGGGAATTCAAGCAAAAACAGCACAATAAGTAATTTCAGGTTCACTTACAGTGAATTTTTCTGTTGTGCCGCATGAGAAACAAGACAGAATGAAAAGCACATGATAAATCATCTTTTAAATCAACTACAATATTTTCCATACAAGAGATTATTTAGGCATTTAAGGAAACTTCACTCTTGAAAGATTAGTTTTGGATTGAGACAAAAAGACAGTGACAATTTTAAAGCCCAATATTTTAGTAAATGTTTCCTCCCACTCCCAGCTTTACAAGTAAAATGGACTTCACCTCTCAGGCATACTCCCTCCATTCACACATGGTGTGAACATGTTTTACATTGTGTCCCTGAAACGGCTGCAGTTCAAGAAAACAGCAAGTCAGCAACTGAACATAAAAACCGCAGTTCATTAAGAACTCCTTGAACGTGCTCAAGTACTGCTCCAGTGCAAAGTATGAGCAGCTTATTCAGCGTTAACCCTCTTGGCTCCCAGAATTTGTGAAAATTACCTCATGTTTTGTCTACAGAAGGAACAGGCAAACGATTTCCAGCGTCGTATTATGCTACCAGACCATAGGGTGGCAGCAGCAAAGCACACTGCATAGTACCTTATTAAAACCCCCCAAAAGCTGGGTGTTCCCAAACTGTGGTACAAGCTTGATGTTCCACGAATTCTTCAACAATTTCGAAACTTCCAACTGCTACTTGCTAACAACTGCATTACTACTGCAAACCCACCAGCTAGTGAGTGTGGACCTCACAGAAGTCACGACCCCAGACAAAAATCAGAAAGATTAAAGAAATTTTCAAATGCAAATATTAAAAACAAAAAGGCAACCTGGCTACCTTTTAACTATACATTCTTCCTCAAAAAGCAACACTAAACATTCTGTTGTAAACAGACAAGAGATGTAACCTCTGGTCTAGGGGCTTGAGCTGAACACAAAAGTGACAACAGGTAGCATAGGCATGTTCTACCAAAGGTTTTCAGAGAAACACGAAATGCATAGAAACATGACAGAGGAGGGGAAAAAAGGAAAACCAAAGCAGGAACTGGACCCTCATTCTATTGCTCCCTTGGCCCTCAGACCAGGCCTTCATTTCTAGGAAACACATATGAGCTAAAAATGAACTACTAACATAGTTTCACTTACCACAATGGGTGAAGACACGCTGTGGTCTGATCTGAGGTTTAAAGAAAACCTCAGGAAGCCTCTTCATGGCATGAATTTAGGCACAAACTTACATGCTGGTTTCTGGAATTCTGTTTATTTTGGTCTGGATGTTGCAATATGTGCACTAGAAATGTTTACATCTAATATATGTAAATTCTGCAGCAGTATCTTCTGGCAACGCTAGCTGCATTAAGGAAAGTAGGCGAAACTAGGCTCAAATGCTGTTTGAACAACACAGGTTTTTCAGCATAGTGATGACATTTTCTTTATAAAAGTGAAAAGCTGAAAGCTTTTCCTCAGATACTGTCAATGTTCCTTCTAATTATGACTTGACAAACAAGATTCTGGTAGGAAAATATGATACATTCTGTGGCTATACTTCAAATCACTCCCGATGTTGCAAGTCCTGAATGCAACATTCTACTCAACTGCCACCACAGAATTCTGGACACAGAAAGGGGGTGAGAATTACAGTCTTCAATATTAAAAACATTCTCTAAAAGCCCTTCTCTCTACTGCTGTAATTTTATTAGCATTACAGGCAAGCCAACAAAAAATTTCATCATGAAAGAAGGAATATATTTTCTCATTTTAACAGTAGTTCTTAATTTAATTAATTATAGCAGGAAAATAAATTTCTCACATGCCTGTATACTCAGGTTTTTTAATTTGTTTGGTTTTTTTTAAAAGGTTTCTGCTTCTTCTTTTGATCTCTCTAACTTACATGTCTCATCTGTAGAGCCTCAGAAGCTTCCACCAATGCAAGCTGAAGTCCATCAACTTCACAGCCAAGTAGGAAAAGAAAACTCTACAGTATGTGTGCCATGGTAACTGCACACATGGCTCCTCTGTGATCACAGGGCATAGGTTCTTTGAGACAAGCAACTCAAATGGATGACTAACTTCTCACACACTCCCAAGAAAACATGTTCCTTGGCTGACAAAGCACTCTGCTCACAAGAACACCACACCATGCACGCAACACGGCCATGCCACCATGGCTTCCGATCCACTACAGAACTCGGACATGGGAACTTGGTTAGGGGTGTGTATGAATGCAGCATGGAGTCAGCCAGCTTTCAAGCACTGTCACCAGCATCACCTTCTGCCTAGCTTTGTTTGTGGCTTTTAGGGGTTTTTTTCCTACCTCTTCTGGGTTTGTGCAGCTTTAAATTGTCAGAAAAATAGCGACATGGGTACAACTAGAGGTCTCAGACTTACCTAAACCACTTATGTTTTTATAATTACCAGTCTAAGACCAAAATATTTATTTCTTTATGCGCTACACTCCAAAGAAAGTCCACGTTCCATTCCCTTTCTCTCATCCAATTCACCACTTTTTCACAGTCTATTTACAAAGATTTTTCTACTCTTTCACTCTTTGCCCTAAGTCTAAAGATTGGGGCTTGGGGTTTTTTGTTTGTTTGTTTTAGCAGCAAACATCTACCATGCTATTTTTAACTGATGGAAGAAGCCAAACAGGAACAACCTGTACTGAGCTCGCATGCTTAGGTCTGTGATATTTTCAATGAAAATGTGACAAAATAAGGAGGTCAAGAAACTCACCTCCACCAGTTTGGACAGCAGTCAGCTGTGATCCCATTTCTCGCAGCCCTTCATTGTCCACAGGGTAAGTGGACGCCTGAGATGAGCTCGTTCCTTGAGTATCATCATCACCCAACGCCGTGGTTTGAGCCCTGAGAATTTCCAGGGCTCCTATGCCTGCCATCTCCTCAAAACCTTCTGACATCTGAGCCAAGGGAGAATCTCGAGATGCAGAGAGAAACGGGGTGTCCAGAGGTGAGCTTGGAGGGGACAATGATGACAAGGAGGACCGTGATGACAGGGATGCCAGGGACTGTGCAGTATCCAGAGACCTCCGCTGCTTACTGAAATTTGAATGCCCAATGGGATCAGCATATGGCACATCCTTTGTGAGAGACTCGAAGGGAATGATGTCAAAGCGTAAATGCTGGCCGTAGTCTGTAGCGCTGTCTGATTTGTCATACTGTGGAAGGCCATAGATGTCCGTAAAGCTGACCGAGCTGAGGGAGCCTCTGCTGGAGGCCAAGGATCCTCGACTGGAGGCCAGGGATCCCCTGCTGCTGCCAGAGGACATTGTGAGGGTGCTAGCTGACAGACTGTGGCCGGCAAAGAAAGAGAAAACAAAAAAGGCCCTTTCAAATCTAGTCAGAAACACCAGCACAGACATAAAAACATCAATCCAGATTACAGAAGCAATTTTGTGTATTCAGTACAGTGACATAGAGAGATGATTTGGCATTCTGAGGTCTAGCGTGTGACTCTTGCCCTGGTCACAAGCACAACCACAACTGGAACATCAGAAGTGACAACTAATACAGGACTATGTGCCTGAAGAGTTTACCTTTTCCTCCAACATGTAAGCTGCCAGGAATTGGTATAAAAGAGGCCAGAGTAGAATCTGGATCAGTGGACTCAATGTAAAGCCAGGAAGGGTAGATTATAATGATCTCGCCTGAACTTAATTAATGATGGCTCATAAACATATCATGGAGAAGAAGCGAGTAGGGATTTGGGAAGTCCTAACAAACTGCTGTGTAAGCCTCACCCTCACAGGTTTTTCCAGTACAAAAGAAAAAAAGACTTTAGGATTAATCCTATTCCAGTTCCTCTTACCACTCTCTGATAGGGAGAGAAGAATATACATGATGGAGGGAGATGAAGTGAGACACAGCAGGAACTGAGCTTTTGATGTTGGCATGGTGTTGAGCTGAGGAATCCCCAAGAGCTGCATGTAAAAAGGCAGCTGCGAGTGTGAATATGCAAAACATGCTGGGCTTCTGTGTGGGTCTTAGCACATTCTCGTATTTAAATGGCAGAATTCTGTCATCTCAGCACGGATCAAAACCTCTCCTTTGGAGAAGGTATCACAATATTAAACCTTACAGAACTTAGAAGAATGTTATCTTCATATTAGAAAAACTGTAACAACAATATAATGGGTTTAAAGTATGTGTCTTCTTCTCAGACAACATATAAATTTCTCAAATACAGATAATAATCTAGCCCAACTAGCCATCACTATCTATAAAACACCATCCAAATAATCACTTTCCATAGACCAAACTGTATACATTTAGTAAAAAATAAACTTACTTGGCACACATACATAGAAGTATTAAAAGGTAAACTTTCTAGATTACCAATACTCTTCTCTGCTGCAGTTAAAACTTCAAACCTCCTGCTTTTACATAACTTACCTTTTTAACTGGGAGTGTAAATATGAGGTTAAGCGTGTAGCTTCTTCTAGTTGCATAAGCAAACAATTTCTCTTTTCCTGTAACAGTATCCTATAATTAAACAGATACATATTATTTTTTCTTCATCACAGCAGTTCTCAAGTTTTAAGAACTTTTCAAGTACAGAAAATATCATTGCATTGCAGTTTGGAATATAAAAAAAAGTTTCACTGTTTAATGAAGTTTTAATTTAGGCAGCTTATATGCAGTGATGGAAATTCCAGCAAGAACACAAGATCCAAGACTCCAGCAGAATTCCCAGACAAGAAAAGCAGCTGAGGCACAATGTAAGAGTTATGATGTTGGAAATGCGTTACATCAATTAGCAAAGTCATAAAATGTTCTCGGTCAGTAAAAAAATCAGAATTTTCAGGGTATTTTTTTTCCCCTTGCATCAACCTAATTGTGCCAATAATATACAGAGAACTACTATGACTTTTGTCACTTTGGCAGAAAAAAATATTCCAAACAGCCCTGTTATCCAAGCAAATTAGTGTCAAAACTCAAGGATTAAAAGAAAATTTTTTTGAGAACTTTGGTTATGCAGTAACGATAAACCTCAACATTTAAGCTCTAGTTCTAGGTGTTTCAAGCACATTTATATATTGTTATATTTAAGCAGGTGATACAGCAGTTTGAATACTAAACTATGACAAAAAACTCTCACTGCAGCTTATTTTTCACCCATTCTTCTAACAGGCAGCTGAATTACTCAGTTCTACTGTCACAAAACAAATGGAATGTACCTACAATGCTGTTGGTTCCATAGCCCTGTAAGGCAACTTAAATTCTGTATTTTGTATTTTCTGAATCCAATATTATAAGTATTCCTGGTGTTTTGTTTTTTCCAAGCCCAATCATTGAACTTCAGATCAAATCAGGGCAGTAATCTGCTTTATGTTGTATACATTTCTATATCTAGCAGTTACTGCTCCAGCTCTGCATTCACAAGTTGGCTGGAAATTGGGATTCTGACAGTTTGGAGAAAGCAGATCAAACTTATCTGAGTGCTTTCTTCCTCAACTGTAAAGATGGCTGCTAGAATTAAACATGTCAATGGGTGGGATAATAAAAATAAAAAATAATAATTAAAAAAAAAATCAGCAAAAATATAGTCTTTCTGGATAAAATAAAATGGCAGCGTTAGGTTCAACAGACTTTGGATGGTGAAGATGGAGAAAAAAAAGTCTTTGTTAGCAGTAAAGTATTAATCTCTCCATTTCTTTGGACCCCAACTTCATCAATTCATACACTGGCAAAGGGCTGTAGTGCCACACTTCAGCAACCCCACCACCCTCTGGGGACTCTCCCTTCATTGCAACCACACAGTACAAGCTGCATGTCCAAGCACGTGCCAATGCTAAAGCTTTTTTCCTGCTTCTGTGGGCCTCAGACCAGGTTAACCAGATGGTACAAGGAAGGCTGCAGCTCAGCTATGTAAACTTACATGATAAAGGCACTGCAAATAGGAACCAAAAGAAAAAGACAAATGGATGCAAGAAACTCAACTGATTTGAAAGCTTGCAGGGGAAGGAAAGGGTATCCACACCATCTACTTTAAAAAACAGACAGGAATTTACATTGATGACTCACAGTCATCAATACTGTAAGGCAGGTACCTGTGCTAACGGGGAATAGATGTCTCCAACTAAGGCTGCCAGGCAATCTCAAAAATAACCAAGTCAACAGCAACCAAAAAGCCAACAACAAAATAACCCGAAAAACACCCCCTCCACCTCTGTCATACAGAGTTTAAGATAGTTCAGATCTGTGCATAAGTCAGTGTCTTTAAAACTCAGCAACAGAACTTGTCATTATTTAAAGAGAGATGTATTATTTAAATACATCTTTGTATTTCACAAATAAGAGAAAATGGAAACAGCACAGCAGAACTAGGAATGGTTTTGGTTATTCCTGTGCCTAACACAATCAAAGAAACAAATCTGGTCTACTAACAATGAAGCTTTCTTCTAATTTGTTATACAAAAATAGAGTGCCCTTCAATATTATTCTAACTTCTACACAACTTTTTTGCTAGCACTTGAAATATCAAGTATCACACTGGAACGCTGGTTTCCACAGCATGAACTACATGGAAAAATAGCTTGGCCTTCTTGCCAGCATAGTATGCACTGCCTACCATGGGAGCCCAAAAACAACAAATAAAACTTACTACACTGCAGTGTGAAGTGAACTCCCTTTTCTGTCAGTTTAAACTGGAAAGCCAAGGTAATGATATTGCAAAAATTGCAAAACAGATAACACTAAACTGCTGGTTGGCAGTAAGTTTTCTATTTATTGCCTAAATTTACTGTCTGAAGTATTTTCAAAGGAACTGAAGTTCTCAAAATTGGTATACAGAAGGCACTTCCAAATATTTTTTAAGTGTCTTAATTATGTAAATATTAACCTTTACACAGATCACATTAAAGTGTGTTCATGTAGTTTTCCTCAAGCATCAAACCTGTCTTTTTACTACCACTTAAGAGAAGCAAGTCTGGGAATGAAGTACTTTCTCACTTTCACCAGAAGCAGTCTATGGTAACAAGAAGAGATTGAGAGGTTTTGTCCATTTCTTTGACTACAGGAAAAACTGGGCACCTTTGAAATAAACAAAATGTTTCCATTAATACGTTTTGGGGGTTGTTTGTTTATACATCTAACATGGTATTTTATTTTTCAAGAGTTACTCTCTCCAACATTCTTGAATGTCAGAGCTGGGATTTGTTCCCACTGCTGAGATTGCAAATTAAAAGGAAAAACTGTATGCAAAAAGCAGTAGAAAACTTAATCATTTAAGCTTTCCTGTTTTAAGACAAAACTGAAAGATAGGAAAGGATTTTTGTTCTGATGCTTTGGGAGAAGAGTACTACTGTATTGCAAAGTAACAGAAAACATTTTCCTATTCAGGTGCTGTTATATAGGTCTCTATTACCAGGCAATAACACCTTAGACTTTTTCCAAGCATCTTTCGTGACTCTATTCTGATTTCTTCTTCAAATTCAGACTTTTTAGATTAATGAAAGATGAATTAAATAGTTGGCATCACTCTAACTCTCCTTCAGAAAACTTCAAGGTAGAATTAAATAATGGCAGACAAAAACAATCTCTTCCTTTTTTGAAATCAAATTACTCTAGTAATCCTTGTTTCTTTCTTAAACACAGTGAAACTCCCTATCATTCCTTTTTTAACTACTTACATGGAACTTAAAATAGAGAAGAAAACAATTTAGGTTTACAAACCTTTCAGTGGCCCCATGAGCAGATGTTGCTCGAGCCCGCTGGATTTCATCCTCCAAGCGTCTTTTTTCTTCCTCCAAACGTGCAATGTCTTCTGGGGATCGTCTCTGCTGACTGATGAGCTGTAACTCCTGAAGAAGAGCCTCCTTCTCTTTGATGAGCTGAAGACGGTCCCTGTCCGCTTCAGCCATTCCTGGCCAAGACTCATTTTCTAGCAAGGCCAGCTGCTGTTGTATATTTGAAACTCTTTAAAAAGAGGATAAATATATTTTAAAACTCAGAAGACACAAAAATTAAGACAATTAAGAGGAAAAATATGAAATGGTGTTGACTTCAGTGTCTTTTTTTCTTCTAAATTTCAAAACAAGAAAATTTAGAGGAGTTTAGAAGGATTATTTGTTTCTGGATTTTGGGGCGTGGTTTTTTTTGTTTTGCATCATTTTAAAATGCTAAAGAACTCCAATTCCTCCTAAGTGTACAGCTAGGTAAGACTCCCAGTGCATTTATCACATGGACAATATCTGTCTTCACAGCTTTCTCATTTTGTAACAAATCAATTTATATTGTAGAGCTCTTCAGTTTACTGCCTGTACAGTTGATGAAGTTGAACACCCTTTCATTCCTCATTCTTCCAGTATCAGATCTTAACACAGGATTTTAAAATACAGTGAGAATTTGACAGGAATGAAGGAGAGATGTTTATCTACTGACAATAGGACCATATATTCATGTCCCACCTCAGCAGAGAAATGGTTCAAGGGGCTGAAAATATTAGGCAGTCCTTACTGACAATAACATTTTAAGAATAAACAAGCTGTCAGTAAAACAAAAACACAGGTCTGGAAAAAAAATCTGCTGGTTACAAAATACAGGTGACTTTCATAGAATCATAGAATCCTAGGGGTTGGAAGGGACCTCGAAAGATCATCTAGTCCAACCCCCCCAGAGTACATCACACAGGAACGCATCCAGGTGGGTTTTGAATGTCTCCAGTGAAGGAGACTCCACAACCTCCCTGGGCAGCCTGTTCCAGTGCTCTGTCACTCTCACAGTAAAAAAATTTTTTCAGACATTCACCTTGAATCTCCTATGCTCCAATTTGCACCCATTACTCCTTGTCCTATCACTGGTCATCACTGAGAAAAGCCTAACTCCATCTCCCTGACACTCACCCCTTACATATTTGTAAACATTGATGAGGTCACCCCTCAGTCTCCTTTTCTCCAAGCTAAAGAGACCCAGCTCCCTCAGCCTTTCCTCATCAGGGAGATGTTCCACTCCCTTCATCATCTTTGTGGCTCTGCGCTGGACTATTTCAAGCAGTTCCCTGTCTTTCTTGAACTGAGGGGCCCAGAACTGGACTTTGGATGGATCCATCATCAAATCTAGCTATTAAATAAGCTAACTTGATATTCTGTTGTAGGCTTTATAGCTCAAAGTAGTTTCCTGTATCTCAATATACTGAATGATTACACAAAACAACAGTTATAAAATTAATTCCATGTAAACATTTTAAGAAAACGTTCTGCTAAAACAAATTTTTAATTCTTATGTTACAAAGAACCCTAAAGCTACTACTTTCACAAATGTTTCTTTCGGCAAAATCAAAAGGTATATAACCAGAATGGGAAGAACCCCCTTTACTATTAGATATTTATGCCTATCTTACTTATTACAGTTTAGAATGTTAGAGTTAAAATGAAAACTAAAGAAAATCTAGCTTTCTCATTTTTGAACATTCAAAAATACAGAACTGTAAAACGTTTATGCAATTATACCCCTCAGTTTCATCTTCAACTTGAAAGCATTCAAAGTTCAGTGAACCATAAAAGATTATGCACCTTTACATAAATAAATACAAGCACATTTAAAGCCAACCATAAACATGGGATATGCCTTCCCTCTTTTGGCAAGCTGGTTTTTAAGTAAACTTTTTTTCAAAATATCTGGTAAGGAAGAAAAGGTAGTAACAAACAAAGCAAGGTAAAAAACACATAACAAACAAACAGAAGATTCACAGTGTTAAATATGTTCAAGAATAAAAGAAAAGGCACAGACATGACAAAGGTAAGGTTTTCCCCATCTAAAACTGAAACTTCACGCCATGTTTATTTCAGGCCAACATCTGGAAAACATTTGGCCCTCTTATTATCAAGGGAAGGGAAATAAAATATTAATATGAATCATTTTGGAATGACTGCATTCGTGGATGAATAGGAATTTTACTCTGAATTTTGTAAAAAATATTTCCTCCCCTCCTTAGGTTTAATTTACAGTGACAATTTGGGTATTATGTTACATTTTAGCCTAAAGTAGAATACTTTATCAAGGCCTTTAATACTGTTTCCTCCTCCTTGCAATAATAACCAACTTCCTGCCAATAGCTACTGAATGCACCATTGTGTATCAATACATATATTCTACATATTTTATGCCACAGCTATTGTGCATGAATTCCAGATGCAGCTTCCTGAAGAACACCTCATCCCATCAACCAAACATTAGGGCCAGGAAGATCAAGCAGAGTCAGGACTCCTCTCCCACCCAGGCTGCTACACTGTTAAAGGATTCATCAAACACTTCTGAACACATATATAGCTTGATTTTCAAGTGTTTGGTGACAAATGAAGTACACAGGTACTCAAGGTCCTTCCAACAGAAATAAAGAATTAGTATTAGGGTTATCATGCCTGGGCAATGTGAATCAGATGAGCCTTGGCAATGTATTTGTGTGACCATGTTCATAAGCTCTTCTGCTTGTGGATAAAAAGAAGCTGAGATGTGTCCAGTGAAGTCTCTGGGTTGTTTTATAAGCTGATGGACTGACTCTCACCTCTGTTTTAACACGACTGTTTTGCTAGTTATTTTTCTAATGCAGGGTGAGATCATTTAGAAGCTAACCATAGGAGCAAATAAATGCTAACGCAGCAAAACTGGAGAGAGAAGAACCAGGAGGCAAGAGGGGAAAGCGAGATCTCATCCCCTTTCAGCATCAGTTAACCACTGAATTGCTTGGCTGTAGAGTAAAACACCACCCTCAATACAAGAGGATTTAATTTAGATTCTTGAGTTTGCTGAGACCATGTAACTCCCTTTGTGTATGACATTTCAGTTTCAAGTTCGTTTTTTCACCTCCATTTCTGTTATGATAATGCTTTGAAAGCAGGAAGTTGTCATACAGTAACTTAATTACACTGTTATTATTAAAGGGAAAAGTACTGCTATGGGCAAGGTTTGTATCACTGAAGAGTTCCAAAACCTGATTAGGTATTTACTTTGATTCCCTTGACACTCTTTGCGTTTCAGCTAGCTCCTTGTCTCTACGCTTTCCCTTTAAGCAAAGAAAACGCACTCACAAAACCCTACATAAAGCAGGAATCTGTTGGGAGGGGAACTTCAACACCAGTAAGCGAGGTTTCTGCAACCTCTATCTCCTGAAAACAAACAGAAGTTTTCAGGCAATTTTGTTGCTTGCTTTCCACTGAGGATTCCACCTCTACAGCATTTTTTTCTAATAACCTACAAGTGATAAACTTCTTAAAATTTACCTTCTTGGTTAGAAAACATCTGTAAGGCTTTTATGGTCTCACTCTCTCAAACCTAAGAAAAATATTTCTGGTAAACACATAATTTTAAAAAATCCTCTTAGGTATGTGCCATAATTGTAATTTGTCTTCTCCCAACACAAGCCTTTCTTCCCAAATAAAATAAATGCATAAATAAGTAATGTCACTGTGCTTCTCCATGCCAGATTTTATACCTACACTACACCAGCCATTCTCACTGCTGGTAAGTTACAAGAAAGTGGCTGGTTTGCGTTTTCAGACTCAGTGCATATAATCAACTTCCTTAAACACCCACTTAAACAAACCAATGACATTATACAGATTGCAATTCACAGGGAAAAAACTTAGAATCCTTTATGACATCTCTGTTTTTCAAACAATTTTCCTTCCTATTGGGTATCTTTTAACCTGCTGCTACTTAACTGTAGTCACTGTAGAAGAGTACTTCTACCTGGCCTAAAGCCAGATACTCAGGTCCCTACTGATACAACAATTTAACATATTCCTGGAGAAAAAACAGTTAATTTTGAAGCATCAACATTCCAGGCATTTTGCCCATTCCCATTCTTGCATAACAAGTGCTGAGGAGCTTGCATTCCACCCTTGAGTAGGTGGTATCAAATGACCAGTCTCCTAGGTAGGCAGACTGACTTGCTACTTATTTCAGTATTTAAAATTTTCAAATGGAGATTAATGTAACAGCTCCTATTAAGCAGAAAAGCATGAGGGGCACAAATGGGATGACAAAGGTTTAACCTGGTGATCTTAAGTAAACACTGATTTGAAATGGTAAACCTGCCTTGAAATGGCTGTGCTAATGTAGCTAGAATGAAGCATAGGCAGAGATAACATAGGCATAGCATGAAGGTGGAGATCAGTACAGCCAGTAGTTTACTATACAAACTACATCATGGGGGCAAAAAAGCATATATTTTCAGAATTTAGAGCATGTCTGAATTGTTACACAGACACCCCACTAGACAAAACAGGGCAACCCTTTTGTTACTGGAAATATCAGGGGAATGTGGACGATTTTGCAAGCATCTAGAACATTGTTTTGAAGACCGATACCTGAACTCAGCACTAATGAAATACAGCTTGGCTCAAGAACATTTCAATTGAGAAGAGGCTATTTATTAAAACACAGCGTGAGAAGTGAGACTGAAGTAAAACTAACTTTTTTGTGAGATGAAAGAATCTGATTAACAATAAAAATTAACTCTATGTTTAGATCATTACTCAGAAATATGAACAAGGCAGGCTCTTGGGGAGGAAAATACTCTGAGGGAATACAAAGGTCCCATCTAATCCTCATAAAAGGAACAAATTATGGGTATCCTACTACAGCTAGCACTTCCTAACCTACTAGCTGTGGTCCTCCTATCTTAAATAAGTTCTTCAAAATTACTTTGTTTGAGTTTTCCAAGGAAAAAAACACAATACCCCTCTACATTTAGAAACTTAGACTCTTGGATGACATATCAGACCATTCTACTACAGCCAAGGCCTTTGTTCTGTGTGGAATGGGAAGAGTACTGGGGATTAAAAAAAGAAAAAAATTCCACAGTAATGATTTGGAGGGGAATGGTAGCTAAGATCACACAAATATGCAGAGACGATCAACATAAATCAGCCCTGGTTATTCTTTTCCTTAGGCTTACAATGGGCTTGTAATTGGACCCAGTTCTCTGCCATTTCAGGTAACAGGGAACTTCTCCCATGTGCTATACCCAGAGGAAGTGGCTGTGGGACTGAAGACACATAACAAAGGGCATAAGAACTCAGTAATTTCTGGTATTTACCTCTTGAGTGTTATAACCAAAGAGGGGAAGGCTAGAGAAATGGGAAGAAAGAAATGGAAAGAACAAGAAGCTGGGAAACTCAGCCAAATGCTCACAGAATTTCTCCACTGTGTCTACTTTGGCTGTTCTTGCAAGTATGTGCCACTGTGGCTTTGGCGGACAACACGAGTACGCTCTGTAGAATATCCAGCCTTCCTGGCAGCCTGATTCAATAACAAGGAGGTCTTAAATTGGCTTAAGACCTTCAGAAACCTTTAGAGTCCACTAGCATTTTGCAGACAAAATTAAGTGTCTACCTTCAGGAAAACTGCAAAACCTACTAAAACCAATGGAAGTATCTTTGCCAATTCAGTTACACTGGTATAATGAAAACTTTAAAGACAGTTTGTCTCTCTTTATAAATCAAAGAAAAATTTTATGTTTAAAAGGAGACCCTGGGAGATTTAAGTTTAGCTGACATGCCTGAGCCAGATACTTTTGTGTTATCAGACAGATTACTTCATCACCAAATCAGATTTTCAGGTTAGTTTAGCAGAATAAAGCATACAAATCTACTGAACTTCACTAGAAATTAGGCAAGTACACCTTGAAACCTGACAGCACAAGATTAATTTTAATAGGAAAATACTTCACTATGTTATTGTATCAATACTGAAACGTTATCAATATCCAAACAACATGTATTTTATCAGTACAAGCACGAACTGCACTGTTGGCACTTCTGCTGCTGCTTTTAAAAACCCAACAAAAAGTTAATTTTGGTAATGGGATATATTTGCAACAAAGTAACTACTCAGCAACTACACTGAAAAGAAAGAAGTAACATTCTTAAAAGGAATGTGGAAATACTAAGCATAGCAGAGGAGGAGGTTTTTTCCAAGGCTAAAATAGATCTGTTGACAGCTACTGTATAATTTAAACAATCGAATTGGAAAATAACTTATTTGAATTTAAATTTACAGAAGGTATAAACAAATTACTTCTTTTGCACTCAAATTAGACAAGCTGGTTGAAGATGCTCAGATGTATTAGTTCATTAAAATCAGCTGCATCAGACTGCATCATTAAAGAAAAATTAATTTAAAACAACAGTTAAAAATCTTGGTGCTTCTTAATGGAGGGACCATTTTTCATCTACTGATTTATACATTTAACCAGATACGAGGCACCGCAGCAATGACATTTGATGATCCTTTGCTAATATACTTCATGTAGTCATTATACTGAAGTGCACAACTTAACTTATCAAAGAAAAACAATTTGCTTTGATTTCTCTTCCTCTGAAACAGCCTATTCAGGAAAGTGCTCGAGGGGTACACTTTCCAGTGTGCGAATGCTTTCATGAGAGGTGGTCTCACTGAAATAGCAACTGAAACTAGAAACGGTATTTATCCAGGCAGCTTGGGGCTTTCTGTTCAAAAAGACCATCCCCCCTCCCTCCTGCTTCTCTGGAGGGCCACACTGACAGATCTGAGGGGAGAAATTTCATGGAAATAAGGTACAGTTTATTTTAAAATAATGGGGGAGAAGAGTAAAGAGCAGAAGAGAAGTGATTGAACTATATTCTGTGATTCTGTGAGCCTTTCTTCAGAATGACTGGCAAGCTAAAAAGGATTATTTACACGTCTCCCCCCAGAGCCTGGATGAAGCACAGGAGAGAGGACTTCTTCCACTGACTGCTGAAGAAGGCAGAATCCATGGCTCACAAGATCTGAAATACTCATGGGAAAAATTAAATTGCAAACTATCCAACTTCCTTCCAGTGGGAAAATGAAGGGGGAAAAAAGCTATGTGAAAGTCTTAATTTATGCAAAGGCCAAACCTCTCAAGCAGTTAAGAGAGATTCTTCAAGGAGGAGTTAAAAATCAAATTATCTTTTATAGGGGAGGAAAGATATTTTGAGAGTATAAGCCAACTTTTCTACGATCACTGGGTCTCATCTCCTGAATTCCTCAAGACAGTTCCCTCAGAAATCCCAGCTCGGCATTTCCTTGCTCAGACACCATATAGAAGAAGATATTTTTAAGAACACTTTTGCTACATATGACAAATAATCTGCTCCTATCTAGAGCTGTACAATCTTCTGGCTAGATTCACAAGACTGACTAAAATGCAACACACTGCTCTTCAGTTTGCAGGGCCTTTTCCTGATTTCCTTTGGGGAAAAGACATACTTCTCTCCTACAGTGTATTTTTTCAGTCTCCCACTAAAAATTGGAAATAAGATAGTTTGTCTGTTGTAATTATTTGTTGTATATTTCTGCACCTCCTTTGACAAGCAGGGAGTCATAATATACTGCTTTACAGTTGTGACATACTGTAGCATTTTAATTTTCTACTCTGTAGATTTTAATCCATCGCAGCACATTCCGTCACCCACACTGTGCAGTAACAGTAGATATTTCACCAGCCAAGGGAGAACGAGCACAAAGATATTTAGTAGAGACAAAAGCCCTACAGAAATGCCAGCAAGCTAAGGGGAAGGAATGCATGATAAATGAAGAATGCAACCACAGAGATAACTGGTAGGGGCAATGAGCTTTGTGCAGTTCCACTCAAAAACTGAAAGCCGATTACTTCCGTACAACATACTGGGCAGAATAAGGCTACTATTTTAAAGCAACTAACACGCTTTTGCTAAATAACAGACCATTGTCAGAGCTGCTATCCTGGGACAGAAAACTACGCTTACTGCATTCACTATTCTTTAGCTGGAAGGTTAGTTACCCAGATTTTCTACTCTTAACTAACATCAAACCCCAGCTCACTTCTGATGCTCAGAAATACTGCATTCCACACATAAACAAGCGTTCAGCATTTCCAGCTGAGAAATGCTTCTGATACTAGGAAAAATAAAATCAGACAAAAAAAAAAAACAAAAAACAAACACCATCCCTCCATCTATGCCCCGCAGTAACACACGAGAACTGTTTTGAAAAATGCATAGAAAAGGTATGTCAGAAAACTTAACAAAAACATGTAATAAACTATATTCACACCGCCAGTGGTTCTGCTATACTAAACAGTATAAAACTAAATTCTATCCTACTTCACTCAGCAATTGTCATGAATCCCTAAATTATTACTGGATTATTAAGTGCTAAGGGTTAAAACTGTGTCCAAACAGGACACTGAGGGGTACTTTTTGTTTGCCTTTTTTTTTTCCCAATTATTTATACTTTATTAGGTAACAGTCACTGGCATTCACATGCAGTATGTTACAATACAAACTTCCACTCCTGATAGAAATCCTGAAGATTTAGCTGTGTAACTCCAACAAGCCTAAATATTTTTTTTTCTTTTTAAGCCTGTATTGCATCTAAATGTGGGCAAATTTTCCAAGAACAATAAAATGGAGGATTGCCTATAAAGCTTCCAATCCCCGCCAAGACATATGACAGCATTAGTTTCCTCCAAAGAAAAAGTCATCATAAATGAAAAAAATGAGGCAAAAGTATTGAACTTTTTTTAACCCTTCTTCTGAGAGACATAAAAAACTGGGAACATACACAAAGCTGAAAAAAGAAAAATCCTAACTTTTTAATATTTTCAAACTAAGGTTTTAAAGGTTAACTATACAGAATCTTTTAAGTGTTATTCCATTTTAATAAAATTATTTTCTATCAGCACAAATTAAAATACTAATATGCACATAAAATTGCTGTGTTCAAGTAATCATCTACAGTCACACAACATTTCTGAATATGTGGCAAACATTCTGAAATAAATGAGGTTAAATGAGGACTCACTAAACTATATTAGTAGGCATTACTTTTTAAGTAGTACTAAGAAAGAATAGACTACTTTTACAAAGCCATGAAAAACCACTGCAAGACTGGCCTCCATAAAATAGATGTTTATGATAAGCAATTAGATTGAAGGACTATATCTAATTCAGGTAACATTTTATTAATTTAATTTTTTAATATATTTTTATCAGCTTTTTTTTCAATCTCAACTTTTATTCTTATGTACCCTTTTGTTCAGCTCTGAACATCTTCATTTATCCCACAGGACGTTCTGCATTCTTTCTTCACATTGAGTTCACAACTTCAGTACACTGAACTTAGAACACATGTATGCAGTATGTGAAGCTCCAAACATACTGACAGACCAGGCTAAGTATACATTTAAAGACAGTTTATATTGAGGTTTGAGAAGAAGAGGGGAAAAAAGCAAAACAGTTGAACTAAACTACTGCATAAAATTTGTGTTTATACAAGTGTAGAATGAGGCTGACATTTAGCTTTATCTATGCAAACAAATATAATTATCTTATGATAATGTTTTATATTTACCTAAGCTTTTACTATCTGTGAATTACTCCATAGTAAGCAAATTAGACTTCCTAAAGACAGTTCAGATAGGAGGCTGGTTCCAGTTCTACTTCAAAAACTTTAATCACGCCAGTAAAAACAACCAAGAAATTTATCTTCAATTACCTTTTCTTAGCCTCTTCATATTGCCAGTTCAGTCTTACTTTGTCTACAAGTCTTGTTTTGTCATCAAACCCAAACTTTTTCAGAGTTGAAGAGTGAGGAGACCAAGGGAAAAGAGAGGCAAAAATGAGAATTTAAAAACACTCTCACAAGAAAGGGATAAATTAATCTGATTTATTTGACTTACTAAAAAACATCAATGCTTTAAGTAATATGATAATAAAAATCAATTTAATGCTTTAGAAACACAAAACTGGTATACTGCTAAAAATTCTGAAGATAAATGAGCCCTTTCAATCAATTATGATCCTGGAAATCAAGGGTTAGCAAATCACTGATGAATTGTCAAAGCTTTTAAACTTTATCCTAGTGTAAACCACAAGGAGTATTTTAATTGAAATATTTTACTACTTGATACAGATATTTTATTATGGATAGTTTAATGAGAAGTAATTCAGATTACATCCCCTGTACTGTGATGTGTTACCTGGCACTTAGATCATCACTGCATTTAAAACACTATTACAAAAATAACATCTGATTCAAGGATCAGTTGTAGAATACACATTTATGTTACAGCTTTCATTACATCCAGACCAGTTTCTACAGCAACTTCTCTCCATCTCAAGGCATCAGCCCAAGTCCCTATTTAAGTGCATCGCTGCACCTTTCAATTTCTCCAGCCCAAGTCCCTATTTAAGTGCATCGCTGCTTTCAATTTCTTGTTTAACTGCTCCTTTTGCTCTCTTCATAATCAGAAACGTATAAAATTCACCTCTTTTTTGCTCATGTTACATTACTAATAATTCAGTAAAACAGTTACCATAATGATGCAATTTTACTTTCCTAACCAAAAAACCTATATCTGATAAACACAATTTTCAAACTGTACTTGGCTTGTCTTGGAAGTCATTCAAGTGTATTGTGAATGGAAAAACACTGGTATGTTCCTTTTGGTAATTTGTTTCAAAATTCAATAATCACATCCACCACCAGTCTGACAAATGACACCCCAAAGGCATCATCTATGTAACACAGTGAAAGACAACCTAGTGTTAGCTAAGCTTTATTAGATGCTTTAGGTGTATATCTTCTTAAAAACACAGATTTCCTCTTCTGTAGAGGCCCCCTGGAGACATACAACTTGACAACTAGTCAGCAGTGAAAGGAAACAATAGAGGAAAGCTGGGATGGTAAAAGTCTGCATTTAAGAAGTTGCATACAAATTTATAATCAAAAGCTACGCTACTAACAAACTTTATTGTCCATCTCATCCACAGAAGCAAATGTTTTATTGCTGAAGAACAGCCAGGTTGCCATAGCACTAGTGCAAGCCAAATTTTTATTATTTGGAATACATAATTTTATTCACACAGAACTATTTCCAAGGAATGTGAATATGTTCTTCTCAAGTACCATATTAAAAGGTATATTTGACAGACTATTTTGGAAGCTCTGTTATAGTTTTTAAGAAAAATACTTTTAGACTATAAAAAATACTTCCCTTATCTAAGACATGGGAAAGGAACTGAGGTCTACTTTACATCTTTGATATATATGAAAAATGATAACCAGCATGATATAAACAAATTTTTAAATATATATATATCCATCACTGCTACCAGAACACTAACATCTCATGCCGTTGTACAGGCAATGGCACCACAAAGCCCATTACTCATGAGCACCACTTACACGCTCTAGAAACAATAAGCAAAAAACTCTCTCGCTACCAATACTACTTCGGATTTTTCATTCTGATTCAGCCAACACCTCTTGAGTTAAAACAGGAAATAACAATGTATCGCTATAGTACAAAAGCAGATTCTTCTCTACTGCAAATGTCTTGCATAGGAACACATACCTCTCCAGTGATTTCAGTCTGAGAACAAGCATCACAGTGTTGTTGAGGTAAACAGGAGTCACCAAGCAAACCAGAATTGTGCTGGAGATCTTGTAGGGAATCTGTAATACAACAGCTATTCCTGAATCCATCTGTTAATTTGGCCAGGCTCTAAAGAAGAAGAGATTAAAAAAATAATAATCATTTTAAAATTATGTTATTAAAAGAAATCAAAGGAAAAATCTATAAAATTTGTTTTAGAAATATGACAGGAAGCTTCCCTGTAAAAAGCGATTTCCAGAAAGTAAAATTAATCAGTGTTACTTACATGCAGAAGCTTTACTTCGAAATAACCCTCTCCTTTTAAAAGATAAAACTAAAAGTAAACACTTTAAATTATTTGGTTTAGATCTATGAGTGTTTTAGCTTTCATATGACTTACAGTTCTTTAAATCTAGGACCTGTCAACTTTCAGGTTAGCTGATAGGGGAGACAAATGTGATTCCCCTGCCCTTTTGCCATCTTCTGCACAGGTTACATTTCTTAGAAATGACTACTATCACATCCAACTTGGTGAGTACCTTGTATTGATTGTATTTTTATGACAGCTGATTTCACCCTTGTGCTCTCTTATTTAAGGTTCACATAGTTAAGAGCTATTTTACACTTTGGGTCAAGCAAGAGACATCTCTCAGATGTCTAGACAATGATACAAACTGTGAGGGTAAAGCAGAGACCTCAAGCAGTCTCTTTAAGGGAAAGGGGGAGTAAGACAGAATCACACAAAATAACAGTAACTTATTTAGCAATACAGGATTGGTTGGTTGGCTCTTAACATTCCTTTTTTAAAAGCTGAAGTTGTTAATATAGCTTTTATTTTCTGATTGCGCATTCTCTCTTTCTCAAAAATTACTGGTAATGTAGGATCAAAACGAAAACCACTGTGCAGGCTGTAATTTATGACAGAGATCCTAAGCATTATGCATTAAAAGAATATTAAAAAATAAATAAAAAATTAAATTCTGTCCCAGAATATAAAGGATAATCAAATTATGTGGGGAAAAAATAAATCAGATTTGGAGAGCTGTATCAATTTATAAATCATAACACAATCAACAATTTGCTTCTAAAATATAGACATAAGAACTCTCAAAACTGCATACTCCAGTGTCCAAACAACAGAATCAGAGACAAACCTGAAGCTCTGCACTGGCAAAAGGCTGGCCCTCAGGAATCTCAGTGGCTCTGACAACTGGTGATTTGCAACAAGCCCCAGTTATTGCCCATATCCAATTACCAGGAGATTTCTCATTCTTCAAAGTGCAGTTTAAAAAAGATAACATGCCATTGTTGCATTTTCTTACACCAAATTTGACTAATGGAGTGAAGACCAATCTGTGTAACAGCAAGTGGTTGCTGCTCACAGGAAGAGCAAGGCCACCTTGAAGACAAAGACATCTGGCCAGTTTCAGAGCCTAGGAAGCATCCACAGGAATTGCAGTAGGCCTGAAACTAGCCAGCAAAAGCAACTTTTTTCTGGTGGCTTCCCCATTTCTGTCATACATAGTCCATCCTTTTGTTCTCATTGTATTTTGGTCCCTCCCTCAGGCCTGCTTGGTGCAGGATGAATGAATGAGGGGGCACCCTAGCCACAAGAGCAGGGGCCCAGTGCTCCTTCCTGCCACCTCCCCAGTCACACACACTTTGGTCTTCTTTCTACTAGAGGAAGGCAAGGACAGAGGACAGTGCAGAGCGATGCCTGACATGCCAGTAGTGGGACAAGGCTACCACTAGTTGCCTCCAGGAGCTCAGTTTACAAAAAAAGCCAGTCCTTCTGCCACCTCCCAGCTGAATTGTGCCACCTCAGTATGAAGGACAATCAAAATAGCTTGTAAGACAGAAAAATTCAATTTCAAGTTATGTCTCCGAAAAGTCCCTTTATCCTCCATGACTTGCTGCAAAATTAACTGCTCCACAACATGGTGAAAAGAAAACAAGAGTGTCTTCTACTTTCTGAAAACTGAAACTTACATATTCCTGTCTAACTCTCTTCTTCAAAATGCAGTGGAATTCATCCAGTCGTGTAAGTCTCCTGCTGTATGAAGGATCAAGATGGTTCCCTAATAGGTTTATAACACGGAAATTTCAAATCACAGCTACACAAACATAAAATATCTAACATGTCCTCTTCCTGGTAGAGCCAGTCACGTGAACAAAACCGTAGGATTCAGAAAGCCTGAGGTTTCTCCCAAAAAAGGTATGTCCCATTTCGCACCTTTGGCTAGCACATATTATGTTACAGGCATATATAACACCAAAGATCCTAATGCCAGAACTTAAATCTACACTTTTCCCCATATTTCAGCTACTTTATGCACTCCTGGTGTGCTCCTGACATCCTCCAACATCTCCCTGGCAGGTAATGACAAGCTGCTTGGCTGCTGGCCAGGCATTCTATCCAGGCACAGCTGCTGAAC